GTTCTCAACCTTCCTAAGGCCGCGACCCTTGAATACAGCTCCTCATGCTGTGGGGACCCCCAACCGTAACATTATTCTCGTGGCTACGTCATCACTGTCATGTGGCTGCTGTGACGAATCGTCATGGAAACATCTGATCTGCAGGATGGATTTTCATGGTGACACATGGAACATCATGAAAGCACAGTGATCAATCACAAAAACAATATGTGATTATAGATGTGTTTTCCGACGGCCTCCGGCGACCCCCGTGAAAGGGTCGTTCGACCCCCAGAGGGGCCGCGGCCCACAGGTTGAGAACCGCTGCCTTCGAGAGTATTTCCCTCCACGTCTGGGTATTTCTTCTCGGCCGTGAACTGGCCGGGGGAGGGAGGGGGGCCGTGTGTTGGAAGTTCACCCCACGGGGGTCCCTGATCCGCCCCCCTCTCTCTCTGTCCCCAGGCTCTGAAGAATGGTCGTCCACTGCGGTGTTTGTCTCCTTGGTCATGCTGGGCACCGTCGCCTGCGCCTTGATCTTCCTCTACCTTTTCTATAGGTAAACCCCAGCCCGGGCCGGTGTGGCTCAGTGGTTAGAGCGCCGGTGGTCGTGGGTTCGATTCCCAGCCAGGGACACGTACCTGATGTGAGAGAGAGAGAGAGAGAGAGACGTGTTGATTGGTCGCCTCCCCGCATGGGCTCCAACCGGGGCCGGGGATCAATCCTGAAACCCAGACATGTGCCCTTGACCAGGAATGAAACCCCGTGACCTTTTGGTGGGCGGGCCGACGCTCTAACCACCCAGCCCACCCGCGAATTGGCTGCTTAAATAGGAACAGATCAGATGTGATCCACATCTATATATATAAAATGCTAAGGGACCAACCGTCTGACCGTCTGTTCGACCGGCCGTCCCACCGTCCGTCCGACCGGCCGGCCGGTACATGTGACGCGCACTGGCAATTTAAAAGTAAACGTTAACGCGTGCAGGCGCGATACGCATAAAGCTCTCGCTGGCGCCAATCGCACGCGACGCCGGGATGTATCTGAAGACCAACTATTGGCACTTTGCTGTGGTTGTATCGTGTTGTTGTTGTTTTTATTGATTAATCCACTTATCGATCATTGGTTTTATCCGTGTTTTTATATCATGTTTTTGTGGTTTTTATGCCGTGTCTTTGTTCTTTTTACATCATGTTGTTGTTGTTTATTTTATTAATCAATTTATATATTACTAGGGGCCCGGTGCACGAAATTCGTGCACAGGGAGGGGGGGGTGTCCCTCAGCCCAGCCTGCACCCTCTCCAATCTGGGACCCCTCGAGGGATGTCCGACTGCCCGTTTAGGCCCGTTCCGGTGGGCGATCAGGCTGGCAGGGGAGCAGTTAGGGGCGATCAGGCAGGCAGGGGAGCAGTTAGGGGCGATCAGGCCGGCAGGGGAGCAGTTAGGAGCGATCAGGCCAGCAGGGGAGCAGTTAGGGGCGATCAGGCCGGCAGGCAGGTGAGCGGTTAGAAGCCAGCGGTTCTGGATTGCGAGAGGGATGTCCGACTGCTGGTTTAGGCCCAATCCCGCTGCAGGATCGGGCCTAAACCGGCAGCCTGACATCCCCCAAGGGGTCCCAGATTGGAGAGGGTGCAGGCTGGGCTGAGGAACACACCCCACCCCCCGTGTACGAATTTCATGCACCGGGCCTCTAGTCCCTTGGTCGGCAAACCGCAGCTCGCGAGCCACATGCGGCTCTTTGGCCCCTTGAGTGTGGCTCTTCCTAAGCCTTAGGAGCGCCCTCATTACGTGAATCACAATGTACCTGCCTATATAGTTTAAATTTAAAAAATTTGGCTCCCCAAAGAAATTTTAATCGTTGTACTGTTGATATTTGGCTCTGTTGACTAATGAGTTTGCCGACCACTGCTCTAGTATATATATATTTAAAAGTTAGTAAACTCAAGTCTGGCTAACAGTGCGCCCAGATGTTATTAATTTAATAATAATAAGTAATTCGCACACAAAAAAGAGAATAAAAAAAAAAGAAAGAAACAAAACAAAGAATAATAAATTAGTCACAAAACAGAGAATGGGCCACATGTGCAGAAGTTTGGAGGGAAGGAGGGACATGGGTCTTATGAGCCCCCAGCCTTTATCACCGAAGACCCTGGACTCCCCACGCCCATCCCTGCCTCCGAGGGTCAGAGTGAAGGTTCTAGAAAGACCCCCGTTATCCCCACGCTGGATTCCTCCGGTGCCTCCTACTTTCGGTTTTGTGGAACCTTGTGTGATGTTTCAGTGACATTGTTCTGGCTGCCAAAATGCTGATTGGGGGGGGAGGGGAAAGGGATATAGTTGCTCCTCTCTGATTGGACAGGGAAGGCCTCGGTCGCCATCTGATTGGACAGGGAAAACGCCAGTCACCGTCTGATTGACAGGGAAAGTCTCCTTGGACATCGAGGGGGAACTCCGCCACCTGGGTTCATTCTTCACACTTTTTTTTTTTTTCGGTCTCACTAGGTTTGTTGGGGTGCCTATTCCTCGAGTGAAAGATAAAGTGAACAATGACTATCTCACCGATGATGAGGTTCGTCCGGGGAAGGGGGTGATCCAGGGTGGAAAGTGGGGGGCGTCCAGGGACCCTGCGAATGTCCCGCCATCTCCTGCTTGGGTGACCCCTTGAAGGGGGCTACAGGGATGTGGCCAGAATGCTGTGTCCAGCTCCGTGGCCTTGCCTTGGGGTCAGGGGTCAGGTCTTGAGAGACTGAGAGACACAGACAATAGGGAGTCTGACCTGACCCCCTGGAGGAGGTGCCAGAAGGGGGTGAAGTGTGCCAAAAAAATGGGGAGACCCCACCCCATATAGGGACCTCCTCAGGGGCCACTCTCCCTGCGGCCGGGACCACGTCTCTCCGCTGTCGTCATAGCAACCAGCTCCCGGCTCGCTCACCCCATCAATGACATGGACATCTCTCGGGTCATTATCCTGAGTCCACACCCTGGGCCCCCCCCTTCCCCGATCCCTGGTTTCCGGGGACCCCCAGCATCCTGTTTGCCTCATGGGATACCAGGCTGAGCCACTTCCCCCATTTTCCTGTCCAAGCTCCAACCTGCCCCAGGACCTTTGCACGTCCCACATCCTACACAAACCCTCCAGCAGGGCGGCCTGGCTGGTCCCTCGGTGACAAGGAGACCCACGTAGATCTGTTTGGAGTTTCTACCTACAATCCCCACCCCACCAGCAAACGGGGGGTCCTGCAGACCTGACACCCTCATTGTGTTTTTTTTTTCTTTTCTTTTTTTTTCTTCTCCTCCCAGATCATCTGGGAGAAATTCACCCCAGCCGCCGGGAAAGGGGACATCGAAGAGGTCTTTTCCGTGGAAGAGGTTGAAGAATCCACCGCGAAGGTGTGAATTCCAGAGGCCTCCAGCGCCCGTGTCTTTTGGGAACATGTGCGGAATTTTTGTTTCATTTTGGGGTTGTTTTTTTTTTTTTTTGGTATTGTTTTCAGATTGTTTCTTTTTTGTTCGTCATCGCCCGAAGATGTTTTTCTCAACGGATTTTTATTTTTTTAATTTAAAAATATTTTTTTATTGATTTTTTTTTTTTTTTAGACAGAGAGGAAGGGAGTGGGAGAGAAACGTTGATAAAAGGAGGAACTTGTATGCATATTAATGCGTATTCCCTGGGTATATAGACAATAGTGTGGTGAAGGCCTGACAGGGGTGGGGTGGCTGGAGGAGGGGCATTTGGGGTAAAAAGGTCTATAATACCTTTCGACAATAAAGATAAACTTTTTTTATTTTTTATTATTATTTTTGATTTTTTTTCTTTATTGATGAAGGTATTACATGTGTGTTCTTATCCCCCATTGCACCCCAGCCCCCCATCTATGCTTCCAGACAGACCACTGTTACCATTTTGGTATCTAACCTTCCACAGTTTTCAGGGAAATACACACATGAACATATATACTCATATTTCTTTTTTAAATAAATTTTTTATAATAATAATAGCTATTATGGGTATAACAGTGCCCAGGCACTGTTAAGTGCTTTTTATACTTTTATCTCTTTGAGGAAGGTACTGTTACTGTGCATGGGAGGAAATGAGAGCAGAGTTTAAACAGTTTGCTTGAGGTCTCACGGCTGGTAGGGAGCAGAGCTGGTCCTAGAGTCCGTCCTCCTAGTTATAATGCTATGCTGCATCTCCTTGTAACTGTTTTCTTCACTTAAATCATGAACAATTCTTCTATCAATGACACATTTAACCTCCTTTTAATGACTATGTAATAACAAACAGTAAAATAGGACCTCTGAGTGCCAGGCCCTGTTCTGAACATTCCTTTAATCCTCACAACAACCCCATGAACCAGACACTACCATTACCCATTGTATGGAGCATCATTTAACCCATCTTCTCTTATTATTTAGGTTGATTTGCTTTTATTAACAGCAGTGGAATGAGTTTCCTTGTAGGTGGACTTTGTAAAATTCCAGGATTAGTTCTTTGGGATAAATTATTGGAAGCAAAATACCTTCATGAGAAGACATCCATTTTGCCACCCATCACAGTACAGAAAAGCAGCTGCTTCCCTACTCTGACATCGACAGACAGTCTGGCCAGTATCTTTAAAAATACATTTTGAAATTTTATATTATAAAGTAAGATCTTCTAACTTACACAAAATATTAAAATTATAGACATATGATTGTCTCTCATTATGGATGTTTCTAACTCTCTCTCTCCCTCTCCCTTCCTTCTCTGAAATCAATAAAAATCCTAATATATAAAAAGCCAGGGTCATCACAACCAAAAGAACCGGCAGGCGGCGTGGGGCGACCAGGCCAGCTGGGGAGGGGGGCAGTTGAAGATGACCAGGCCTATGGGGGGCATTTAGGGGTGATCAGGCCAGCAGGGGGGGCCGTTAGGGGAGATCAGGCAGGCAGGCAGGCAGGTGAGCAGTTAGGGGCCAGCTGTCCCGGATTGTGAGAGGGATGTCCGACTGCCGGCTTAGGCCTGAACCCTGGGATAGAGCCGAAACCGGTAGTCGGACATCCCCCGAGGGGTCCGGGATTGGAGAGGGTGCAGGCTGGGCTGAGGGGACCCCCCACCCCGCTCCGTGCATGAATTTTGTGCACCGGGCCTCTAGTCTATATACATATATAAAAGGCTAACATGCTAAGTATCCAATCGTCCAACCAGTCGCTATGACGTGCACTGACCACCAGGGGGCAGACGCTCAACGCAGGAGCTGCCCTGACACGCACTGGCCATTTCCAGAGAATCGGCCACGCGGACCTGGCACCCACAAACCAACACTCGGCTTCCCCCAAGTGGGGCGCAGGCCCCGCCACCACCCCACAGCGACACCCCACCCAATCGCAGACAAAACTGCCGGGACCCCAGGGTGCAAAATGCGGCCCCCAGCCCAGCCCAGCCCGGAAACGGTGGCTGTGGGCGCCGGGTAATGACATCACATAGCAACGCCCGGCTTCCCCTCCCTAGCGACCAGCCTCCTTGGAGTTTCGTCAGCCCAGGAACACGACTCGCTTTATAGCCAGGTGCTCACATTTTACACTTGAACCAAATGTCTGTGAAGCGTTTTCCGTGCCTCCTCTAGTTTGACCCTCACGGAAGTCCTGGGGTAGGCAGATAGGAGACGCGATATATTTTTTTAAAAATAGAATAGAATTAATAAAAATATATATTTTTATATATATATAAAAATTTTAAAATAATAT